GGCTTGCATAGAGGTTGGTATCTAATTTTCTAATTTTCTCAAAAATCAATTCTGGCTCTGCCTCTCCTCCCCAAAAGATACCAAGAGCCAATGGTGGTGGACTCGGAGAATCCACGGGAGGAGCCGGGCCCCTACTCCCTCACCCGGTTAATGCTCACCATCCCTTCTGTCTTTGAACAGAAAGGGAGGAGATGTTGGGAGCCATTTTAAAAATAGCAATCATCTCATATAAGCCTTCTTCTTTGTCCTCCAAAAAGCCCGCGCGCGCCAAGCCACAACACCCCTCCCACCTCCTCTCCTCATACCACCCACTACTCTTCCTCCTATCATAAGCCGCCACACGCCCTATTTCAGCCCGCCCCTCTTTGCTATGTATATAAGCAATCGCCTAACAATAAAATTTGGAGGCTTGATCAGAACACTGTCTTGCCTCTATTCTGCGTGTCTCCTGTCTCTTTCTCTCTTGGTCTCTCTCTCTCTTTTCACCAGCAGCAGGTAGTCCTCCTCGTGCCCATGTTTTACTTGTCCCGCTGGTCGGGACAACATTCTAGGAGGAGAAAGCCCATGTTGTTGAATATTCTGAAACACATCCACCTTTTTTTATGCCAAAAACTCACACATAAGCTCATCCTCAAGTTACTTCCTGAAACAGGCTATAGGTACTTGAGGAACAAAAAAAAGAAAGTTGATAACTTTAAATCAGAGAATTGTCATTGTTTTTTAAATTAGCAATTTCTGTTTTAAAAAAGTAATAGAAAAGAAATTGGAATTCTAGCCTAAAATAGACCACCTGATACTAGATATTTTGCTGTAATTGGTAAGACAATAATTTACTTTTAAAGGATGTCACTGGATAAGCTACGGTTAATGACAGTTTAAATTTCACAATTTTTTAATGAAAAATGTATAGACTTCTATAAAATTCCTAGTTCCAAAAAAAACCAAGTCAAGTATATACACAAGACAAAACAAGGAAAGTACTGTTTTGATAGTAAATTTTCTCTTACGTATCCTTTTTGAAAATATAAGCACTTCTAAATTATGAGAAAGTAATGTGAATCAAAACATATAAACTTTTAGCAACATCACATTAAGTCCTTAACTTTTAAAAAAGTATTTAATATAGACAAAACAAAGCAGTCACGAAGAGTCAAAACTTAATACATTTCTTGGGGTAGCTTAGGTTGATAATAACAGCTTTGACGTAGCAAATATGATTTGCCCATAAGAATTATTTCTAGAGAAATTTTTCAAAAATTATTTTGATTATATGCCATTGTGTTTTAAGCTTAAAGTCATTTTGTACAAATGTTTACTATAAATTACTCTGTCAACAGTAGGTTGTTATGAATCCCTCAGAAAGGCAACAGGCATTTGCTGAGGAAGTATGCTTTTAGTATGCAACAAATGGTGTTCTCTTCATATCATATTCCCTCATCCCCATTCCCTTCAATATCATAAAGCCACTAGTCAAACAGAGGGATTAAACAATCATTCAAATTTTTTTGCTTGTTACTGTTACAGTTTTTTTCCTTAATAAAAGGATTTATAGAAAGCAGGAAAAAGTCAGAGAAACTCTACGCTACAAGAAAGGGATGAGAAATAAGAATTCTGCCCTTAATTAAGCTAAAAGGTAATCTCCAATGCTGCTTTGATGAAGTTCTATTTCATTCTAATATTTAGCATTTCATTTTACTTTTGTGGCTTTCCTTAATGATGATTTATAATAGCTCATTTCTGTCAAGTAGAAAATATAGAACTCAAGGTTTAAATAGTAAGCCAATTCCACCTACCAAGCATGAACAATTGTTATTCCTTTTATCTGCACTTTACCTCATATCCCCACCCCACATCCTGTAGTGTTATGAAAGAAGCATAAGGCTTGCGCTCAGAAGAAAACCAGCTGTGTAACCATATAAATTACTTAATCTCTATGGGCTTCAGTTACTCAACACATTAAAAGAAAAAGAATAAAACCTACCTTCACAAGGTTGCTCTAAGCATTAAATGAGACAATATATGTAAAATGCCTGTGGTATCTGGCACACAGAAGATGCTCAACAAATTACCCCCTTTCTGCTCTTATCCCATCTTACCTTCCTAATGTCCTCTCTACATTTCCAATTCCTAGTCAAAATTCAAATCAAATACTGCTCTTCCATGAAAACTTCCTGGACAATAACAGCCTATAGTTATTATCTCTTCCTTCCCTGGCATTATTTCTGTATTTCTCCCCCAATTCATTCATATTCATTCCCTCATGCACTCATTTTCCTTCCCTTTCTATTTCTCTTGTGCTATTTGGTCATACATTCCTTTGAATTATTTGTGCATACCTAGAAAACTTACAGAATATTGTACAAAAAAATTATGAATAGCAAAGTCAACTGCCAAGTACACAAGGAATGAGGAAAGGGATTAAAAGATTAATTAGGCCTGTAATTCTATTTTCCTTGTTTCTTGTAAGAAAACACAAGTGTTTATGTGTGTGTTAGGGGGTGGGGAAAGTGGTCTGAAACTAGAAAGATAAGCTAAGTGCAATGTCTTTCTTCTTTTCCCACTTCCCATCAGACAGGAAAGCAGCCTAAGAAGCAGTCTAAGAAAAAGTAAAGAGCATTCCAGAGCAGTTTCCAGAACAAATATCCAAAAAAACAGAGATTAAAAATCTTCTTTCCTAAAAATAAATAAATGGTAATATAAGTGTTCCAATTTCAGTCAACCACTGCCTAATATCTAACAGTTGCTAATTCATACATAAAACACAATAAAGTACAAGAAAATATATTCTACTTACCAACAAGGAGCCAAACAACATTGGAATTGTGTTCTGTAAGAAAATCTTCTAATTGAGTGATACTAGGGACAATGCTGTCATTCTTCCTTTGATCCATTACTGGAGCAGCATCCAAAGTCCTAAAAGAGGTCAAAGGTTAAATTTAAAATCTTTACAGATTCTGGATGTTAGTCCTTTGTCAGATGTGTTGTGAATACCTCAACTTCTTACCCATCATCACAGAGGTCATTCTAGTTTCCTTCCTTTATAATAGTCTCCAACAGTGATGCTGGGCTCCCATTATTCTTCACATATTTCTTGCTTGGTTAGGCCCTCTCCCCATGCTCTGTATGAGTCATCTCCGAGATATATGTCCTTCTTACCCTGCTCCTGCTCCAGCATATTGCCCAGCTTGCTCTCTTCCATTAGGCCTGTAATTCTATTTTCCTTGTTTCTTATAAGAAATCACAAGTGTTTATGTGTGTGTTAGGGGGTGGGGAAAGTGGTCTTCCATTAGGCCTATAATTCTATTTTCCTTGTTTCTTGTAAGAAAACACAAGTGTTTATGTGTGTGTTAGTGGGTGGGGAAAGTGGCCTGGAACTAGAAAGATAACCTAAGTGCAATGTCTTTCTTTTCTCACTTCCCATCAGACAGGAAAGCAGCCTACTTATCTCTTTGGGGTACAGTACCTTTCTCTTGGGTGCTGACACTCTGCATCATGAAAACTTCCTGTGTAGATTCCTTTTTCTCTACCCAGAATCTCACTCCTCTCAAGCTCTGAGACCTTAAGTTGAATGTTTTTCCCACCCTTCTCCCAGAATAAAAAGAAAAGAAGTTCTAAACTGTTGGTAGGAATATAAATTAGTACAACCTCTATGAAAATCTATATAGAGATTTCTCAAAGAATTAAAAGTCTATCTACCATTTGATCCAGCAAACCACAATAAGTATCTACCCAAAGGAAGAGAGGCTGTTATACAAAAAAAGACACTAATAAAACCTATCTCACAGAATTATATTGTGGGAACTGATGAATTCATATATGTAAAGCATTTAGAACCATATCTGGCACATGGTAGATAATATACTGTATAAATGTGTGCTACTGGCAGCCAAGGGTATTGGTGTCTTGCTTATATACTGCTGGCATTCACCACTACACAAGACAACTGCTCATTTACGAACACCTGTGAGACACTCTGCTGAGGGCTGCTTTCTGTCTGCAGGACCTTGCTTAATTAGCTTGCATTCCTAGAAATGGAAGCCAGAGAGTTAATATCAATGATGGCCAGGAAGCTGGTGGATAAATATTCAAGCCTTTCTTGCCACTGGCTCAAGATATCTCTGAGGGATACTTTCTTTGGTCTCTGAGAGTTTTACAACACGAGTGAGCTACAGATGCCCAAGTGGTAACCATCAGGATAATGCCCTCTGTTGGCTTCCATTCCTTTCCTTTCTCTCTTCCCTGACAATGCTTTCTATCATTTCCCAAATAAACTATCTGCCCTTGAATCTTTACCCAGGGTTTGCTTCTGGAGAAATCCAAACAAAGGTACTATTTTGTTATCACTTATAACTAGTCCTATCAAATCTGAGGACAATTTTCTTAACAAGAAAGATGAACCTTTGTGTTAGAAAAGACTATGAAAGTATACAATGCAAAGTACACAATATTTAATACATAAGATTTTTAAAATTTCACTTCAATTCAGAGCATATACATGTACAGAAACTAGCTTCTAACAGAGGAACATTTTCTTTATCTGAACAAGAAGAACAGAGGAAAAGATGGACCCAGATGCAGGAAGACTCCAGGATGGAAAGATGAAAGAATCTGATCGTTTCTATATATTTTTAAAGTATTGGCTCATATTTATTTAAAACCTCTTCTATTTCATCCCTTATTTTTCTTTCTTCTTATTACTCCCAGATTTTGTTTGTTTGTTTGTTTGGTCCATTACCTTCTACTTTTCATCTTCTATTTTTCTTCATGTTTAATTTATATTAATAACAGCTAGCAGAAAGATGGCCCCAGGTGGTTAGCTGAAGGGAAATATAGATGAGAGCCTTTATCATCATGGCTTACCCTAAATCCCCCAATACTACCCCACCTCAGCAAGAATTATCTGATTTAACTCAGAAAAGCAGAGTTGGGATGTACTGGTTGGTAACAATTCCTCCAGTTCCCATTTGTACACCTGCCCACAGGTCCTCAAGAAAGTGCAGTATACTGGCTAATCTCCTTCCAGGACTCTCTCAGTCTTCCAAAGCAAGTATCACCTGATAAGTTGAACAGAATTGTGGAAAATAAAAGTTTTTCTTTATCAGGCTTAAATTTGAATATGTCTATACAACACTACTTATGACTTGAGAAGACCTAGCTGTGAAGTGCCATAGCTTATCCTGGCATTGTATTTGATTTTGATTATTTGGAGCAATATGATAAAACTGTACAATAAAATGTAGGGCTTTTTCTTTCTTTCTTTCTTTCTTTCTTTCTTTCTTTCTTTCTTTCTTTCTTTCCTTCCTTCCTTCCTTCCTTCCTTCCTTCCTTCTTTCTTTCTTCCTTTCTTTCTTTCTTTCTGCTTATTTGCTTATTAAGTATTTATTAAGCTTAAAAATACAACCAAAGGCCAGGTACATTGGCTCACTGCACCGGGAGGTAGAGGCGAGCACCAGGAGGTAGGGGCGAGAGAACTGCCTGAGCCCTGGAGTTTGAGACCAGCCTGGACAACTTGGTGAGACCTCGTCTCTACAATAAAACAAACAAACAAAAATTAGTTGGACATGGTGGTACATGCCTGTAATACCAGCTACTTGGAAGGCTGAAGTGGAAGGATTGCCTGAGCCCAGCAGGTCAAGGGTGCAATGCCATGTGTGCCACTGCACTGCACTCTAGCCCAGGTGACAGAGTGAGACTCCAACTAAAAAACCAAAAAAAAAAAAAATTCTACCATCAAGCTAAGAAACTGTATTAAGTGTGAGATTTATATTAAGTATGAGATTTGGAATATTTATAATAATTTTTAGTAGAATATCTAACAATACAGAAAATTCTAAATAAATGCTGTTTGAAATGACTACCCTTGTATCTTAGCACTTATCATATCATATTGTAATTATCAGTTTAGAGTCTGTCTCCTCAATTAAACAACTGCTCCTTAAGGACATGCTTGCCCTACTTCTTTGAGTGAGCAATACCAAACAAAATTCCTAATATATAGCAGTCTCTCAGTATATATTTGTCTCATACATGAATGAAATAAATGCATCATTATAAAAAGTACATAATTATGAGCCATTGTCAAAGACAAGCAAGTATTTCCGATGTATTCAGGGTCAAAGAGACTTTTTAATACCCTCAAGAATATTTGGTTCTCATGTGCTGGAGTTCAAGAAGTAAAGAGATCTCAACACAGTATTCTTGGTTTAAAAAAGTAAAGACACTATTCAACATTTTAACAGCCCAATTCCAGTTCCAACAAAAATGAAAGAAAAAAATTTAATCATACTCAAATCCCTCATTTAATAATGAAGTATACATTTTATACAAAGATGTATAAAAACTATTCCCATATCTTCAGATCATTATATTAAAGTATTCTGTATGTAATCACAATTCTTTTTCTGTAATCTTCATGGTTTTAAGGGTTGGAATACAAATCAACTTTATAGCTTTCCTCGAAACTCCATCAACATACATTCTCTTCATCATCAAGTAAGACTATGCACATATTACCACACAGCAGCACTACTATATACCAGAAATTCTGTGAATTATGTACTTTATGCAATCACATTTCTACACTGCTTACCCATAGGCCAAACTTGACTTATCAGCATTAACAGTTACAGAAAATATACTTAACTTGAAAACTTCACAGCTGTTTGGTTTGTGCACATGTGTAACAAATTATCTTAGATACCTTTTGTAGGCCTCCCAATTTCAAAGTCACTTATCTCCTTAACAATTAAAAACTAAGTAATTGACCCAAAGATCTCAGTAAATACTAACAAAAGGGCAAATTATTTATCTTTCCTATGGCATAAGGAATCCCCAAATAAAAGTAAAACACAAATTAGATCACACTTCATTTTCATACTAAATGAAGTTTCAAGGACCGTTTTATTCTTGTAAACTGTTTCTAAACTGATACAAGTAGTCTGAGCCCTAACCAATCTAACAGATAGCCTGAAACAAATAACTTGGTGATGCACCCTCCAATGCTATGATACTACATAAATAAAGTATACAAAATACAGAGGTATCTACTGCAATTGAACATCTCACATAAAAGAAGTATGTAAACTTTGTGCATTTAAAGATAGTATTGGAATGCACATAAAGTCTGATATTACCCATTAAGTGTATAATGATTAATGGGTAATATCAGGGCACTCTACTAGAAAAATTTTTTTACCAGGCTGGACACAGTGGTTCACGCCTCCAATCCCAGCACTTTGGGAGGTGAGAGGACTGTCTAAGCTCATGGGTTCAAGACCAAACTGAGCAACTTGGTGAGACCTCATCTCTACAATAAATCCAAAAAATTAGCTGGGCATGGTGGCATGGTGCCTATAGTTCCAGCTACTAGGAAGACTGAAATGGAAGGATCACCTGAGCCCAGTAGGTCGAGGCTGCAGTAGCTGTGAGTGTGCCACTGCGCTCCAACCTGGACGACAGAGTGAGACTCCAACTCAAAAAAAAAAACAAAAAAACTTTTCCCATCACAAACAACAAGGCCTAAAATTACTCAAATCATTCATTTAGATAGAATACTAACCAATGTTTTCTATTAAAATGCGAAGATATCTTTATAGTATTTCAGTAACACCTACCACTAATGATTACCCTGTGTTATTATTGTAAATTGATTCATTAAAGTAGGTTTCTCATTAGCAAGCAGGACCTACGAACATCACAAAAAGCCTAAGAGTCCCGGAAATGGAAAAAAACTCAAAAAGGAGATAGTGGGTAACAAATGCAAACTTAGCTTTCTTAATAATTTTGGCCAGGGCCACCAGCTCTGTGTACATAAATCAAAACTATACAATGTCCTATTCTGTTTATTTAAGCAAATGAAATACACAATTATCCTCTTAGGTCAAACAGATTAGATATAATCCTTGCTACCTAGGAAGAGTTGTTCCAGCTCCTTTTCAGTCCCAGGACTATATACAACAAACAAAATTTTGCCTGTTAACTAGCTCTAAAGTCCAATAGAATTAAGTGGTATAACAACATTCAATCCAAAATAACAGAAGTCATCTGGTATCTTAGAAATAGAGTAGGCTTTAAAGCCAGATTTGAACTAGAAATCTGGCACCATCCACTCTATCCTTTCCTAGGTTGTAAGGTAGCTTGAGCAAATTACTCAATCTCTTTGAACATTCCAAGTAGTAAAAAGGCCATCTCTTCCTTGAAGATATGCAGAAGGCATTCAAAACACAAAGTACACATAAAACCCATAGCATAGGACGTGACAAAAAAACATAGTACAGCATGGTAGCTAAGCTGCTATTATTAATGTGCCTTTAAAAAAAATCAGTTCAGTCTTTAAAAAAAAATCAGTTCAGCCTTTTAAAAAAAATCAGGCACAGTGGCTCACATCTGTCATCCTAGCACTTTGGCAGGGTGAAGAAGGAGGACTGTTTGAGCCCAGAAGTTTAAGACCAGCATGGGCAACATAGTAAGACCCCATATCTACAAAAAATCAATCAAAATTTAACTGGGTGTGGTGGCACATGTCTGTAATCCCAGATACTCAGGAGGCTGAGGCAAGAGAATAGCCTAAGTCCAGGAGTTTGAGGATACAGTGAACTATAATCATTCCTGTGAATAGCCACTGCACTCAAGCCTGGGCAACATAGCAAGACCATCGCAAAAAAAAAAAAAAAAAAAAGGGCATAAGGAATGGTGTATCACTAGGTCAAAAATGGCATCGCAGCTTCCTCCTTGCTCTCTCTTGGATCACTTGCTCCAAGAGAAGCCAGTTGCCTTGTTAGTGAGGCCTACATGGTAAGGATTTGTGGCCACATGAGTGAGACATCCCAGAAGCAAATTCTCAGTCCCAGCTAAGTCAGATGACTGAAGTTTCAGCCAACATCTTGGCTGCATCCTCATGAAAGACACTAAGCCAGAATCAACCAGTTCAGTCATTCCCACATTCCCAACCCACAGAAATTCTGAGATAATAAAAGTTTGTTGTTTTAAACCCCTAAATTCTGTGATAACTTGTTACTCAGCAATAGATAACTAATACAAAAGTATGAGAAAGGCAATTTTGCACGAGATAGTCATGGTATCTCTACTCTGGTGATTCATACCTGTCATCTTAAGCTAAACTACCTCACTCTCCTCCTCCTTACCAAAAGATCAGGGGTCAGCAATACCACACCAATGAAGCTACTGATTACATAAGTGAATCATTTCCTCTTTCTTCCATAACTGGGAGTCTCTTGCATGTATTCTGTAGAATAACCTCTACCCTGCCTCCTATAAAGCATCACCACCTCCTTTTCTCCTGTCTCACTAGAAGTCTATCTAAAGTATCCTTGACCTGAACCCTTCTACCACGTCCTTTCTAGTTTGTCAGTGACCTTGCTTCACCATTATTCTGCCTCATTCCTGTATCTTCAGGTATTATTTTGGGTGTCTCTTTATCCTCAGCAAATAAACACTGTAAATGTGCTTATATCCCTTATACCTTAAACACACACACACACACACACACACACACACACACACACATTTGCAAACTCACATCCTTAGCTATATCCTTCTCTATTTCATTTACACCCAAACTTTCTGAAACAGTAAACGACACAAGCTATTTCAACTTCCTTATCTCTTGCCCAGTATAAATTAGCTTTATCTATAAAACTGCTCTCACTCAGGTCAACAATTATTTAAGTGATATGTCCAATGGACACTTTAGTTATCCCCATCCTATCTGATGTCTATAGATGCCTAATACTAATTGTTTTTCTTCTGTGACTGTCTTGCCCACTCCTACTTTCCTGCTCACTTCTTTGAGGTATGTTTTTCTCACACTTTACCCTTAAATGCTGCTATTCTCTATTCTCATTTTTCTTATCATTCTACATTTTCTCCGAGTAATCTTATCCACCACTATTGTTTTCAACATGTGTGAAGCATTTCCTCTTTCTACCATAAGTGGGAGTGTCTCTTGCATGCATTCTGTAGGATAACCTCTACCCTGCCTCCTACAACTGTATCTATATCTATAATAATCACCACCTCCTTCCCTTCTGTCTATAAAAACTGTGATTCCAAAATTTACATCTCAAGCTCTATTACTAGAAGACTGGATCATTTGGTATGGAGGGAGAGAGTGAGGTAGCGTAGTTTAAGATGATAGGTATGTGTGATCAAAGTAGAGATACCATGATGATCTGACATATGATACTCAACACATATTTATGAAATGAATTAAACTACTTCTTAATCATGTTTAATCATGTCTTCTACTATTCTCCACAGAACTTACACTTTAAAAAAAAGAGAGAAAGAGAAAGTTCAGTCATACACAATATTCCATGAAGAACTGAAAATCAACTACTTCATTTCTTTTTAAAATCCTTTATAAACATGGGCAGATTAAAGAGCAAGTTAAAAAAAGAATGCTGACCACTTGATAATCAAGCAAAGAATTCCCTTGGTCTTCTCCTGCTAATGTACAGGCTAAGCACCTAGTTTATTTGTCAATCAGACATCAATAGTTCAGAAATCAGGTAAATGACTCACAGGTCTTACATACCATCACTACCCCATCCACATTCTCTAACTATATAAGTAGATGAAACCACAACTGTAGAGAGCAGAACGTCAGAAGATTTTCCCTATGTGAGCTTTAACTGAAAATCTTTAAATCTTAGCCAAAAATATTTACCCAAGTTTTCTGTTTTCCAGAGACTGCAATGTTTTGTTTTTCCTACTCCTTATCTTCACAAGGCCCTTCTGCAGAGTTTCATCTTAAGAAACCTGAAAAGAACAGCATTATTTTCCAGTTATACAAAGTATTCTGGTTTTATCAGAAGTATAACCACTTGAGATTAAATGATCTGATTACGCATGAACACACATGAGTAAACGTTTTTAGTCCAATATTACACTTCCTTGTTCAAAGTTTCCTAACAAGAAATATCCCTAAATCTATAATAAGACCACAACTTCCAAACTAAAGTCTTTCAAAACTACAGTGCTTATGGAAAAAGCATAAGTTTGGGAATCAAACTGTTCTAGAGGCCAAATCTTATCTTTAAAGCAAACACCTTGAAAAAGTTTTTCTCTTAAACTACTGGACACTGGCTGGCAAAAACAGTGCCTAGCCGGGCTCGGTGGCTCAGCCTGTAATCCCGTGCCTTTGGGAGGCTGAGGTGAGTGGATTGCCTGAGCCCGCGGGTTCGAGACCCGCCTGGGCAGCAAGACCTCATCTCTACAATAAATCAAAAATCAGCCGGGCGTGGTAGCACATGCCTGTAATTCTGGCTACTCGGA